ATTTTAAATCTTACATTAAATTAATAATTATTGTACGATAAAATATACGAAGAAAAATAAACGGGAAATAAGAGGCACCCCATACATACTACAGTACTATATTACTGTTTAGGATATTGCTTACAAATTTGAAATAAAAAAAAATCTTGATATTCAATTACTGTATGTACTTTAAATCAAGGAACATGCAAATTATTTAAATTTCAATTCAAAATTTTATTGGTGATAAATAAAAAACAATTTATTCTTAATCCTCCATGAATGACCAAAAGCCTATAACTGCTTCCAAATAGGCCTAGTCAATAATACGTAGTTAAATATCAAAGTTCCGTCTGTACTTAATTTGTATACGCCCATGTAAACTCGGGGGGTTGTTAGTGACTATTAACAACTCCCTGGTAAAGTGAAGAGAATATTTAACAAGACCATACGGTACTAGAAGTTCAATCAATCTATTTGAGAGATCATGGTTTGCCTGCTGTCCCTTTCAATCAAAAACTTATCGAAGGTCATTAACAAAGAGGGCGACATTTATTTTTAAGCACCAATGTGTAATCAAGCTGTATTCGTTGATTATATTATTTGATAGTCTATCAGTTAAAAAGCTGTAGTATATCACCCAGATAAAATTATTAGAACTTCTAGATATGTTAGATGAGAAATTGAATTAAAATATTGATAAGCCTATCACTCCAAGCCCAACAACCATTTCACAATTAAAATGGTATCTTCACCGGGACCCATTGTACAGCCCGCCCTCAATTAACTTGAATAAGATTTTTTCGCTTTTCTTACTGCTGTTATTACAATTATAATATTTTAATGTAAAACTTCTGAGTTATAACGTAGACAAGACAGTTTTATATGGACATATCTATAATTTTAGCATATTTTATTTTCAGAAACATATAAAATAACATATGTGAATATATCAGGGGTTGTAATTATATCATAACCAACTCGCGGCACTGCAAATTAAATACATTTAAATATTTCATATTAATCTTTACTTTATTAACGAATACATTTAATTAGGAAAAATAACTTTTGATTTTCCAACAAAATTTGACTGCTGTAGTAATCCACTAAATATTAAAATGAAATTTGAAATATTTACTAAAATAACAGACGGTAAAATATATTGTTTAGATTAGTATGAAAATATGGAACGCTTCACGATTTTGCGTGTCATCCTTGCGCAGGGGCCATGCTAATCTTCTCTGTATCGTTCCAATTTTAGTATATGTACTGCCGAAGCAAGTACATTTATGGAGGAAAAACATATTTCTATATATCTCTGACTCAATTTGACGTCACCTAGAATGATGTCGATTTTATTACATGAATTAAAATATTATGGCCTTAAAATAAGGTGGACAGGTTACAAATCTTTGTTTTTTACTTTAAACGAATCCTGCTATGAATATTTGGCATAATAAGTTATTAATCATTATGAAATAATTTTGTTAACTATATTTTATACACTGCCGAGAGATATATATACAATAGAAATTTCAATATGAATAGGGCGGATATCCTGCAACGCAACGCAACCAAGCATTAAGTTCAATAGCGATCCGATTTGAACTTTGAACGCTCTCTTTTTATTGTGCATTTACAATGGTACCGGTGGTACGCAGAATTTATTTCTCTCTGTCCCTTCAAATTTCTATAACAAAATCATAAACTTTCGGTACATCATGTGTCAAAATATGTTTTTTGAGGTAAAACCACTGGTTGGTTGGTTGGTTGGTTGATCAACAACCAACCAGTGGTTTTTACCTAAAAGAAATCCGCTTTATTTATATTGATATATTTACTATCTTGGCTGATTTTCCAATATGGTTATAACATAATTTTCCTAACGATAAACAACCCAAATATTCATAACATGGTTCGTTTGAAGCCAAAAACGAAGATTTGTATTTGATATTTTAATACATTAATTCAATAAAATCCTTCAAGTAATATTTCAATTTTCTACTTCTTAAATATTATCTTATCTTATAACCATTATATTTTTTTTATACCGAACTGTTCATTTTCGATAATGTTGCTGGGGCGGATGCAGGCGGTGAAGACGGTGTTCATAGCATAATAAGTACAGTATCAGTTATTTCTCCATTGTATTAAACTAGGCTAATTATTTATAATAGGTTGTAAGTAAATATTTATTTTACTAAATTTATCATTTATCACAGTAAATACAATCTAATAACATCTGTATTTATTTACGTATTAAATATTATAGTACATTTAATAACAGTAATAATACAACCTAATAATATAAATAAGTTCACTTATTTCTTTATAGGCCTTAGGTTGTATTTATTGCTAAGTTCACTCATAGAATAGAGCATCATAATTCCTGTTGTATTTCTTTAAGTATCACACAATTACTTATTCCAACCTGGTTAGGTTGTATTTATTTAAGTAAATACAATCTAATAATTAGGCCTGTTAAGCTGTATTTATTTAATGTACTGTACTATATATGACAATCTAATAATCAGGCCTATGAGGCTGTATTTATTTAATTTAATGTACTATATGATACTTTAAGTTTGTTGTATTTAGTAACTTAATAACAACTTCATAAATCAGCTCATAATTATTATTTTATTAAAAGATTTGTTAAGTTGAATTAGTATCATATATTATTTTTTTTATTTATTAACTAAATATTCATCATTTCTTGTTTTTTTTTGTATTTTTTTTAAGTATCATAGTACATTTACTTGAATAAAAACAGTCTGGTTGTATTTATGGTTACTGTATTTATGCAAGTAAATACAATAAATAATACCTGAATTTATTTACGAAATGTATTAAATAATATTATAGTGCATTTAACAACAACAATAATACAAGCAAATAATAGTATTTAATTTTGTAACTTAAACAAATACCTAATAGAATTTTGTTAAGACTATTGTATATTTAAGTGTGATACTAAAATGGTAATGGAAATTGTTTGATTCCTCATTGAATTTTATGTGTTCAGCCATGGAGGTATAAAAATAAATACCTCTATGGTTCAGCTAATGTTTAATGTATATTTGAACTAATTCTTAAAATTGACATGATATTGTTCGTATACACACAACACATTTTATACAAAAACTTGCGTTTCACTAAGTATATTTATTTAAAAAGCATAATTAAGACCAGCATACAATCATAGTTCTTTATCAATATTTTAAATCTTACATTAAATTAATAATTATTGTACGATAAAATATACAAAGAAAAATAAACGGGAAATAACAGGCACCCCATACATACTACAGTACTATATTACTGTTTAGGATATTGCTTACAAATTTGAAATAAAAAAAAAATCTTGATATTCAATTACTGTATGTACTTTAAATCAAGGAACATGCAAATTATTTAAATTTCAATTCAATATTTTATTGGTGATAAATAAAATACAATTTATTCTTAATCCTCCATGAATGACCAAAAGCCTATAACTGCTTCCAATAATAGGCCTAGTCAATAATACGTAGTTAAATATCAAAGTTCCGTCTATACTTAATTTTTATACGCCCATGTAAACTCGGGGGGTTGTTAGTGGCTATTAACAACTCCCTGGTAAACTGAAGAGAATAATTAACCAGACCATACGGTACTAGAAGTTCAATCAATCTATTTGAGAGATCAAGGTTTGCCTGCTGTCCCTTTCAATCAACAACTTATCGAAGGTCATTAACAAAGAGGGCGACATTTATTTTTTAGCACCAATGTGTAATTCAGCTGTATTCGTTGATTATATTATTTGATAGTCTATCAGTTAAAAAGCTGTAGTATATCACCCAGATAAAATTATTAGAACTTCTAGATATGTTAGATGAGAAATTTAATTAAAATATTCATAAGCCTATCACTCAAAGCCCAACAAACATTTCACAATTAAAATAGTATCTTCACCGGGACCCATTGTACAGCCCGCCCTCAATTAACTTGAATAAGATTTTTTTCGCTTTTCTTACTGCTGTTATTACAATTATAATATTTTAATGTAAAACTTCTGAGTTATAACGTAGACAAAACAGTTTTATATGGACATATCTATAATTTTAGCATATTTTATTTTCAGAAACATATAAAATAACATATGTGAATATATCAGGGATTGTAATTATATCATAAGCAACTCGCGGCACTGCAAATTAAATACATTTAAATATTTCATATTAATCTTTACTTTATTAACGAATACATTTAATTAGAAAAAATAACTTTTGATTTTCCAACAAAATTTGACTGCTGTAGTAATCCACTAAATATTAAAACGAAATTTGAAATATTTACTAAAATAACAGACGGTAAAATATATTGTTTAGATTAGTGAAAAAAAAATACGGAACGCTTCACGATTTTGCGTGTCATCCTTGCGCAGGGGCCATGCTAATCTTCTCTGTATCGTTCCAATTTTAGTATATGTACTGCCGAAGCAAGTACATTTATGGAGGAAAAACATATTTCTATATATCTCTGACTCAATTTGACGTCGCCTAGAATGATGTCGATTTTATTACATGAATTAAAATATTATGACCTTAAAATAAGGTGGACATGTTACAAATCTTCGTTTTTTACTTTAAACGAATCCTGCTATGAATATTTGGCATAATAAGTTATTAATCATTATGAAATAATTTTGTTAACTATATTTTATACACTGCCGAGAGATATATATACAATAGAAATTTCAATATGAATAGGGCGGATGTCCTGCAACGCAACCAAGCATTAAGTTCAATAGCGATCCGATTTGAACTTTGAACGCTCTCTTTTTATTGTGCATTTACAATGGTACCGGTGGTACGCAGAATTTATTTCTCTCTGTCCCTTCAAATTTCTATAACAAAATCATAAACTTTCGGTACATCATGTGTCAAAATATGTTTTTTGAGGTAAAACCACTGGTTGGTTGGTTGGTTGGTTGATCAACAACCAACCAGTGGTTTTTACCTAAAAGAAATCCGCTTTATTTATATTGATATATTTACTATCTTGGCTGATTTATCCTTGCGCAGGGGCCATGCTAATCTTCTCTGTATCGTTCCAATTTTAGTATATGTACTGCCGAAGCAAGTACAATTATGGAGGAAAAACATATTTGTATATATCTCTGACTCAATTTGACGTCGCCTAGAATGATGTCGATTTTATTACATGAATTAAAATATTATGACCTTAAAATAAGGTGGACATGTTACAAATCTTCGTTTTTTACTTTAAACGAATCCTGCTATGAATATTTGGCATAATAAGTTATTAATCATTATGAAATAATTTTGTTAACTATATTTTATACACTGCCGAGAGATATATATACAATAGAAATTTCAATATGAATAGGGCGGATATCCTGCAACGCAACCAAGCATTAAGTTCAATAGCGATCCGATTTGAACTTTGAACGCTCTCTTTTCATTGTGCATTTACAATGGTACCGGTGGTACGCAGAATTTATTTCTCTCTGTCCCTTCAAATTTCTATAGCAAAATCATAAACTTTCGGTACATCATGTGTCAAAATATGTTTTTTGAGGTAAAACCACTGGTTGGTTGGTTGGTTGGTTGGTTGATCAACAACCAACCAGTGGTTTTTACCTAAAAGAAATCCGCTTTATTAATATTGATATATTTACTATCATGGCTGATTTTCCAATATGGTTATAACATAATTTTCCTAACGATAAACAACCCAAATATTCATAACATAGTTCGTTTGAAGCCAAAAACGAAGATTTGTATTTGATATTTTAATACATTATTTCAATAAAATCCTTCAAGTAATATTTCAATTTTCTACTTCTTAAATATTATCTTATCTTATAACCATTATATTTTTTTATACCGAACTGTTCATTTTCGATAATGTTGCTGGGGCGGATGCAGGTGGTGAAGACGGTGTTCATAGCATAATAAGTACAGTATCAGTTATTTCTCCATTGTATTAAACTAGGCTAATTATTTATAATAGGTTGTAAGTAAATATTTATTTTACTAAATTTATCATTTATCACAGTAAATACAATCTAATAACATCTGTATTTATTTACGTATTAAATATTATAGTACATTTAATAACAGTAATAATACAACCTAATAATAGAAATAAGTTCACTTATTTCTTTATAGGCCTTAGGTTGTATTTATTGCTAAGTTCACTCATAGAATAGAGCATCATAATTTCTGTTGTATTTCTTTAAGTATCACACAATTACTTATTCCAACCTGGTTAGGTTGTATTTATTTAAGTAAATACAATCTAATAATTAGGCCTACTAAGCTGTATTTATTTAATGTACTGTACTATATATGACAATCTAATAATCAGGCCTATGAGGCTGTATTTATTTAATTTAATGTACTCTATGATACTTTAAGTTTGTTGTATTTAGTAACTTAATAACAACTTCATAAATCAGCTCATAATTATTATTTTATTAAAAGATTTGTTAAGTTGAATTAGTATCATATATTAATTTTTTTATTTATTAACTAAATATTCATCATTTCTGTATTTTTTTTATTTTTTTTATTTTTTTTTGTATTTCTTTTAAGTATCATAGTACATTTACTTGAATAAAAACAGTCTGGTTGTATTTATGGTTACTGTATTTATGCAAGTAAATACAATCAATAATACCTGAATTTATTTACGAAATGTATAGTGCATTTAACAACAACAATAATACAAGCAAATAATAGTATTTAATTTTGTAACTTAAACAAATACCTAATAGAATTTTGTTAAGATTATTGTATATTTAAGTGTGATACTAAAATGGTAATGGAAATTGTTTGCTTCCTCATTGAATGTTATGTGTTCAACCATGTAGGTATAAAAATAAATACCTCTATGGTTCAGCTAATGTTTAATGTATATTTGAACTAATTCTTAAAATTGACATGATATTGTTCGTATACACACAACACATTTTATACAAAAACTTGCGTTTCACTAAGTATATTTATTTAAAAAGCATAATTAAGACAAGCATACAATCATAGTTCTTTATCAATATTTAAATCTTACATTAAATTAATTAATTACTGTACGATAAAATATACAAAGAAAAATAAACGGGAAATAAGAGGCACCCCATACATACTACAGTACTATATTACTGTTTAGGATATTGCTTACAAATTTGAAATTTAAAAAAAAATCTTGATATTCAATTACTGTATGTACTTTAAATCAAGGAACATGCAAATTATTTAAATTTCAATTCAATATTTTATTGGTGATCTGATAGAATCTTTAATATTTGTTTCTTAGGTACCGTATGCTTTATGTAATACGAGAGCCACTTGATAATGCCAATCTTCGGGCAATGTATATCTTGTTTGCATCGCTGTTACCTGGATATTGAATACAATTTTTTTAATCAGGGGGAGCCCTAATCTTACAAAATTAAACTCACAACCATAACCACTGATATAGTAGGCCTACATTTACTAATAACACAACCTAATAAATCAGCTAATTAATATGTAATTATAATTGATTAAATAATTAATACTAAAATTATTACAATTTTTCAAATACATTGTTCAATTTGTTATTAGTTATTATTAATGCAAAAATCTGTTAATGATTAGGTTGATATTAAGTTAAGTCGGGGCTGCTTTTGAGCTAGAAAGTTTAGAAAATTCGGGGGAAAAGTACTATAACAGAATTATGATGAACAACAGTACGAGAATACAAATGATTAAATGTAAGGGTGGTTAGATGTCTAGTATTGACTGATAGATTATTCTTTTATTATTGAACAGTCAATATGACCAAAAAGCATTTACAAACAAAAGAAATTAAAATCAGTTCCTGACGGTTTTCAAGCGATAAAAGTTCAGTGGATTTCAATCTGATATAATACAACAATCTTAATACAACAAACTAATTTATTGGGTTGTATTTGCTATTAAAGTATCATATACTATATTGTACAGTACATTAAATTAATAGGCCTAATTTTTAGATTGTATTTACTTAAATAATATACCAAGTTGTATTTATTTAACTAAATTTGTGATACTTAAAGAAATACAATAGAAATTATAAAGCTCTATGAGTGAATTTAGTAATAAAGCCTAATATATCAGGCCCAACATTCCTGATGATGACATAATTATAATGTCGAAATATTGAATCCCGAGAAGATGGCGTGCATTTTGATAAGTGAACTTATTTTTATTATTGGGTTGTATTTTTATTATTATTAAATGTATTATAATATTTACTACACTTACGTGAAAAATAAATACAGGTATTATTAGATTGTATGTACTGTACTGAAATAAATACAACCTAACCAGATTGTATTTATTCATGTAATATGATACTTAAAAGAAATACAATAAACAGAAATTATGATATGCTCAATGGTAAATTTAGTATTAGTAAAATAAATACTGATAAATACAACCTAATAAATAAATAAATAGCCTAGTTAATACTTAAAAAATACAACAGAAGTTAGTATGCTCTATGATGAGTGAATTTAGTAATGGATATTAAATTGTACCGTATTTACTGTACTTAAATAAATAATGATGATGCTCTATGGTAAATTTAGTAAAATAAATATATACAACCTAATAAATAATTAGCCCAGTTAATACAGTGAAGAAATAACAGATACTGTACTTTGCTAATTATGCTATGAACACCAAATTACCATATGAGTAGGATTTTTCCTTTGTTAATGACATTATTCCTACTGATATTTCTTCCTACTGAATTTATTTCTGATTTCCATTTTACCAAAGCTTTACAATAGTATAATGCATATTTCACGTAGGCTATTGAAATGCACGCCATCGTGTTGGGATTTACCTGTTATTTCGAAATTAATTATGTAATCATCCTCATCATTTCTGATTATGACATAATTAATGTCGAAATATTGAATCCTATAACGGCGTGCATTTCCTACACTTGGATTATGTATTAGAGCCTACTTTCTTATCTGAGATTAATCAGTGGTCCTTTCGATTTTTAAAATAGTACAATAGCTTATTAGCCCGACCGGCAGGAAAATCAATATTGATTATTACCGTCATAGGCTAGCCTATACTTACATGATGTTTGGTTGTGTTGCGACACAAACAATTATCAGGGGCGTAGGCTGGTTTTGTCTGGGAGGTGCGAAACGGGCTGGGGTGCGAAAATTGAGAATGTGGAATTAACTAAATCCATATTCCACTAAAAACTTAATACTTAAAATTACTCATGTAAGTTTTATTATGTGTGTGTTTTGTGATGAATAGGCCTAATTTAAAGTGTTCGGTATGAATTTTTGGTTATATAAAATTAAAACAACTTTTTGAGCCACGTATTTACAAGATTCGTTTATAAAAAGCAAAAAAAAAAAAAAAAAAAAAAAAAAAAAAAGAGAGAAGACTCATTATTTCTTACACTGCACCTCTCTATTTTTAAGATTGTGAGAAGAATGAATTGTCGTCATGCTCTCTGTATACTCACCACAGTCGTAAGAGAAATGTGACGAAAGTGTAGGACCTATATATATATATATATATATATATATATATCTGTCTCTTATACACATCTTCTTGTTTGCATCGCTGTTACCTGGATATTGAATACAATTTTTTTAATATTAATTTTAATTTTAAATTGTTTTGCATTACATGGCCGGTTGCTGTTTTATGGGTTTTTCCCATTTACCTTTCAAAATTATAATGTTATGTAAGATAAGTAAACAATTGAAGTAAAGGAGGAAAATAAATGCTGCCTGTCGGTTCAATAGTTATAAACAATAGAGCTTTCAAACCAAACGGAATCGGCTGCGTTGCTATAGAAAATGATACCCATCCTATTCATATTGAAATTGTCTCCATTATAAGAATCTATCGGCTGATAACTAAAATATGATTTTTAAAATTTATTCCAATTATATCAGGGGCCTAGTCTGGTTATGTCCTGAGAGAAGGTACGAAACGGCCTGGGGTGCGAAAATTAGAGAATGCGCAATATCCATATAAAAAATTAATACTTAAATCTTAAAATTACTCATGGCAGTTTTATTTATTTGTGTGTGTGTGTTTTGTCTTTCACTTAAATTTGAATTTTAAATGCAATGTACTTTTATGTAGGGGCTATTTTAAACCTATTGTGAGAATATTTTAATGTGTTTCGTTCGTACGTATGAATCTTTGTTTACTTGTGTATACACGCCAATGGAAAGTAAATTTCCAAACTTTATTTATACGTTTGGACGAATGAATACTTTTACTTAGGCCTATCTTGATAGTTTTTAGTAATATTACCGGTATTTTAACCCCACAGCGGAACTAGTAACTTTCCGCCGGATGGGGAGGAATGAATAAGACACTTAGCCTATACGCCCATGATCCTCATCCCAGAAATTTGTCTTTTCTATTAAAATAATTGAATCATTTGACACTCAGCTGATTGTTACCATTTTCATTATTTCATAGACCTCTCTTCTTAAGATTGTGAGAAGAATTAATACACATTTGAAACATATTTAATACATACAGTGTTACTGTCACATTTTCAAGCTATTATTAATGTACTAAACATTGTTGTCAGACTCTCTCTACTCACCACAGTCTTAATTAAGAAACGTGCCGAAGTGTGGGACCTATATTATATTTCTACAACATCGAATACTGTGATATTAACTGCACTTCTTAAGGCACATCAAAATTATCGGAAATTTCATTTCAGCATAACAAATTATAATGGCCTAGAATTTAAGTAAATGACGAAACTAAATGCTGCCTGTCGGTTCACGATAGTTATAAACAATGGAGATTTCAACCGTAACATGCTTGGTTGCGTTGCTACAGAAAGGATACCCGTCCTATTCATATTTAAATTTAGCCATTATAAGAATCTATTGGCTGTTAACTGAAATATGATTATCAAATTTATTTCATAATGATTAACAACTTATTAACCAAAATATTCTCAAGATAATTATTTTAAAACAAAAAATGAGGATTTGTAACTTGTCCATTCTATTTAAATGCAATGTGAATTTTATATGATTATTAAAATCGACATCTTCTTTGGTAACGTCAAATTGAGCCAGAGATATATAGAAATATGTTTTTCCTCCATAAATGTACTTGCTTCGGCAGTACATATACTAAAATTGGAACGATACAGAGAAGATTAGCATGGCCCCTGCGCAAGGATGACACGCAAAATCGTGAAGCGTTCCATATTTTTTATTTTTTTTTATAAATTAAATATTTTTTTTATTATCTAATATTTTAGTAAGCATTTAAAATTTTGCTTTAAAATTTAGAGGATTATTGCATCCGTCGATTTTTGTTGAAAAATCAAAAGTTATTTTTTCAAATTAAATGTATTCGTTAATTAAGTAAAGGTAGTTATAATACGGTATTGTATAGGCCTGTTTAAATGTATTTAATTTGCATTGAGTTGCTTCTGATATATTCACATATATTATTTTCTATGTTTCTGAAATTTAAGAAAAAAGTGCTAAAAATTCTATATTTGTTCAAATAAAACTGTTTTATATACGTTTTAGCTTAAATGTTTCACATTTAGGTAATACTGATATAAACATAGAGAAAATTAATAACAACTTGTGAGAAAGCGAAAAGTTTAAGTCAATAGAGGGCGGACTGTACTATGGGTCCCGGTAATTAAGTTAAATCCATAGAGGTATAATAAGAATACTAGAGCGCTAACCGCAATGTATTCGATGTTCGAAATACGCAGAACTGTGTGTGTGTACCATCCAAGATGGCTGCCATAGATTCAGCCAATCAAATTTCGCCTAAGCACCGTCGTTTGCAATTGCGCCCTCAATTTACACAGAACGTTCAGTACATCATGTTTGAAACTCGAGCGTTGCGGGGTATGGGCGTAATCTACACAATTTTAATTTTCATTTCTTGGTACTTTATTTTTGAATAGGATGCTCCACTTGGCCTCGTTTTGGCTACGATAGTTTAATAATTTGTTATTATAATTACCCATTATCATTAATAAAATAATAGTCAGTCAGACGGCTTATTTATGGTAATAATATGAATACTAAGCCTGGTAATAATATGTATACTAAGCCTGAAGGTGGCGCTTTACTACGACGGCCATCTTGGATGGTACACATACATAATTCTGCATTGTTCCGCCATCTTGTCAGCACTCTAGTTGTTTAATAGCTCTATGGTTAAATCGTTGTTGTTTGGAGTGGTAGGCTTTTGAACATTTATTTTTAATCCAGCTTCTCATCTAATAAATCTGTAAGTTCTGAAAAAATATCTGCGTAATATACTCAGATATATAACTGATATGATATATCAAATTTAATCAATGAATACGGAATTACATTTTGTGTTCTATTATAAAATAAAATGTCGCCCTCTTGTGGTATACTACCGATAGTAAGCCTTGATGAGTAGCCCAGGCGGCGAGACGATGTTTGTTTACCTCTCTGACAGCCTGTATAGCACACAGAGCAAGCTAGTCAGGGCTGTGATGCCTAAGTATTTACTAGGCCTAGTAGAAACTTTTACCCGAGTTTAAGTAGGTGTGCATATTGACTTCAAGTATACTAAGCAATTTTTTGAACCACAAGAAGCTGAGTACCTAGAGAGATGATTGCATGGCGCGAAATGGGCTAGCCATTGTGTCGAAACGCAACCTGAAGCTTGAGAATTTCTTGAAGGTGAACCTAGCTCAGGATGTATTTGACAGGATACAGGCCTACGAAGCCTGCATAGTAAATTCCGCTAAAGAGAAGAAAGCATTGAAGTTTAAGTATGCAGTTCTTGGAGACGAACGTTTGTATATTACAGAAAATCCCCCGAAAGTTATTAAAGAGGAAGAAGGTCTGCACCTTCAAGATGTTATATCTATCACTCTGGTAAGTTTATTTATTGGGCTTTTTATTAGTTTGTTTGTGTTTTAGGCCCCAGGTAAGCCTAGCCTAGGCTAAACCTGAAGAAAGTGGTGGGTTGGGGGTGGGTGGTGGTGGTGGATAGGGCCTAGGCTAGCCAGGCCGTATCCTATCACCACCATAGCCTTAGTTTTTATACTGCTAGGCCTAGACCCGGCCTTGTCTTAATGGTATCCGATCATTTCGGTCACGCCCTCACTTCGGTCGCGCTTTTTTGGTTATTTATTTCGGTCGCAGTGTATGGAGCGCCGAAGGCCCGACCGCGAATGTATGATAAGATCCTAAGCAGTATAGGCCTAGACCTACCGTTTGTTAAACACGAAAACAGTTATTTTTATTTTACTATTTTTTGACTAATTGTAATACAGTGTTTTCTTTTTACAGAAACAGCCTTTCTGATCTATATGTGAATGGGAAATAGTTAACAGTATTATAACGTAATATGTCTAATTATTTATGGCAGGAGATGTCTGGAGACTAGAAGAAAATTAAGGAGAAAAAATGTATTGCAAATATACCGTCTAAATTATAAATACTTCGAGTATTATAATTTCTTATCTGAGATTAATCTGGACCTTTTGGTTTTCAAATTATATATTGTTAAAATAAAAACGTATACAAAATATGTTAAAATGTGGTTTATTTATATTCAAGATTGACTTTTTTATACCTAGTTTTAAATTATAAATTGTTAAATAAAAACATGTATTTTAAAGTATGGCAATCAATGTGCTGAATTGTGGATCTCTTTTTACTAATAATAACTGAATAAGTTTCAAAATAAGCTCCTGAAGGCCACAATCGTATTCCTAAATTTTGTTGGAGCACTCCTGTTACCTCATTAATTTAGGTCCTACCTAATAAAAGGCTTTTAGTTGGACTTTGTTATATCGCCAATCTTTAGTAATAACTCCGCTTCCCGTGTTAGGTTCTAGTTTAATAATGGACCATCTTCAATTAAGGGTACTCTTGTCTCTCGTTTTATTTTGATAGTATTTATAATTTATTATCACCATTTTTAATGTATTGTCTTCGATGGTTTTTAATGCGCTGTTCTGTACATATTGCTTCACCCTTCCAAGGGTGGTTTTGTGGAAATAAATAAATAAATTAAAATGATATGTTAAAAGCTATGGTTTGTATATATTTAGGAGAGATTTTGTATAGGCCTATACATACTATAGCTGTACACATGACTTTTACTTCTGGGAACTGCAAGAAAAAAACATATGGGTTTTAAATATACAACACTACTAATAATTGTAACTAAAAATTCTAAAATTTAAACTAATTTCAAAACAATAACAATCTTAAAAAACCCATAAATAATAATCAAATCAAATACTCATTCTCCTATCAAGAGCCTAATAATCTGAAACTGAAACAAATACAAAGTAAAATTTATTTAGAATACTACCGAATGTACTTGCTAAACATTGTAAATAAGCTGTAGCTTGTACATTGGCATTCCATACCGCAGCTGTGAACCGTGACCGAAATGCATAACAATAGGGCGCGGCCGAAATGAAGGCGCGACCGAAATGATCTGTATTCGCCTTAATTAGTTGTAGGCATGTATATGATGTAGCCGGCAGTAGTCCTAGGTTAGCGAATGGAGGTGCTTTTTTATTATACTACGATTTTAAATTATTATAGCACATCCTGCTCTGGTTATAGGCTTTGACTTGCCCAGACCAATGCAAAATTATTTTATAAAATTATAAGCTTTGTTCACTCACGCACACAAACACACACTATCTAATGGTTAGCAGAATCCAGATTAATAACATGCGCCGTTACAGTACAAGAAAATACCTGATATAGATCAAAAATTTGACAGTGGCATCACTGGCTCATAGGAAATATGAAATGCATACATCTGAGTGGTTGATGATAGAAATGAGGTCAACTTGTTATCCGATAGCGCTCGCTAACCGATCATTCTTTTATATTACACTTTTGCTTTAACATCAGTGACATCACAGTTTAAAGACTGGTGCAGGGTCATATCACATTGTCTCTTATAGAATTTGCATAATATCATGTTAAAAATACGGATTTTACTGATTTTCTTAGGAAGGTCCTGTTGGGTCGGCACCATTGACAATGAGCTGCTTTAGTGAGACCAATCACTGGAACCCAGGGAATTAATAGACGTCGTTCACTTCTCACTATAATATTCGTTTTTACAGTGGCGTATCATCACAGTACTGTACTATAGAACTATATGGCAACTTTGCAACTTAGCTAACAATATATTTATTTTTTTTAAACTGATGGTAGCCAATGTGTGCTGTACTTTGGAGATCTCTAAAACGATTAGGGGATTGTTTTATTGTGTACTGCTCAAACACCACCAGAAGCACCCCACTAGAAATAAGCCGCCTTTAGACTAGTGTTAGATTAGTGTTGACACCAAATATATCCAATCCAAGGGTTTTGTCATTTGTGGCCAGCTTATTGTAGATTTCAATAATGGATCAAGACTACCGTACCTAAAAAGATAAATGCGTCCCCTAGTCGACGCAAAAAAATGGCTCAAGTAGTTTAAAGTCACCTAAAATCACCTTATTTTGCGAGCTAGCACCCCTATACCTATCATTCATCCCCAAACATGACCTTCGCTTGCACATCAGCCTCCCCCATTTCCAGACCCCTTGATACGCCACTGATCGATCCTAATTATGTTATGTATACTATAAAGGTAAAGGTAGGAGAACAGCCCATAACTTGCAGCATCATTGTGCTGAATTGCGTATGGGCGTGGTCCGTGACTACCTGGCAGCTGTAAAGAGGCACTTTACGGTAGCTACAGTACATCATTCCACAACGACAGGGGCTGAAATGAACCATAACGTCGGGGTAACCCCCTGCTCTTCCAAAAGATGCAATGGGTTCTTTAAAGTGCACACGAGCCAGATGTATACACAGGACCTCCATTTTAAGTCCTTATCCGAGAAGACTTGGTTCTAACAACCGAACCCATGGGCGAGGAGCAGCTTGAACCAGCACCGATGTTAAGGCTGTAGCTAGCGGCGCCCTTGCCTTGCCGCTCAGCCACTCGACTCGCCCATCCAATGCAAGGGTTTTGTCATCTCTGGCCAGCTTAGATAAGATCTGAAGGGCATTTCATACGTTCACAGGTAGCCAAGATGGGGAATGGGTTTAAAACCGTTTACTGTTAAAACTGATAAACTATTGCCAAAGGAATGATTTAACAGTAGACAGTTAATAATTTTCAAAAACAACACAACATATTTTATCTTAGGCAAAGCCTATATTTAATTCAATATTAACGGCCCCAAAAAATGTTTCGTCAGTACTACTACCATCGTCAGTTATCGTATTGCACGCAGGCAAGCATTAGTATAAGGGAATAAAAAATTTAATGTTTTGCATGCTAAAAAGTTGTGGAACGAACCGTAACAATACTACAAAACACAATATAAATAATGAAGTAAAATCAGATAAATTATTCATTTAAAAAAAAAATTAAAAAATCAGATAAACTATTATTTGAAGGTTAATTTTTCCAACCTCAAGCCAGACATTATTCATGCAAAATAGTGCACAGTTTGCTTGTTGGGACAAAGCTCATGTTTGTTCTGAATTGTTGAGTGCACAGTTAGTCGTGGGTCTTAAGTAGGTCCTAAGCCTGCATACAATGTCTGTAGGTATAATGATTAAATAATGAGACACCCAAGGTGTTACAAGATTAACCAAGGTGGGGTTGATACAAATCGTATTTATTGATAATCTAGTTTCAAAAAACAAAACCAAATTTACAGCGTGAAAAACTAAAAGTACCTAAGTAGATAATGTACTGAAATATAAACATCCACATTTGGACAAAAGTTTTCACTTGATGAAGTGATGTTTTTGTTACTGACTTTCAGAATATATGTATTGTCTATTTTATTTAACTATTAGCTTTTATTCTTATTGTGCGGGCCTATTTCTATTATTGTTATGTATTTATTATTGTCATTTTTCTAAGGGCATCAAAACTATTAAAACTTGCTTAATTGAATTGATGCCTTTTCAGTTAATCCATGAAATTAAAATTGTTACAATTAAAGGTAATTGATTGAATATAGTTTATTATATGTAAAAAAATACATACTCTATGTCTGCAAACAATATTACCAAAACCAAATGAATGTTAGATTTACCTTCCTAAATTAAAATTCATTATGGTTCAGACAAAAAAAAACTTTGAATTATATTTAAATGACTAACTTTACTGGTAGACAAAGAATTGGTACTGTTTACTGTACACGGCAACTTGGAAAATTTTAGGTGAAATTTCCTAATAAAAGGTACAGGGCCATGATAAATAATCTTAATGACTTTTAGTACAATATTTCTGTTAAGGATATTTAATTTTGAAACCATATTATGTTTTAATGTTTATTCTAAAATATTCTGTAATTTAATTTTTTTTTCTGTCTTCTTGATAATTTCATTGACATCAGTTTTACACTACAGATATGAAAAAAATAAAGTACATGAAAAATCCAATTTAAAATTGAAATTATAAATTATAATAACAGTATGAACTTCAAACTGTGATCTGAAACAAAATATTGGTATTCTTATTAAATAATAATACTGTAATCGTATGATGATTGTATGTTATTGTACTGATTGTATATTATTATTATTTTTTATCAGTCAGCCAGTTATTATTTCCAATAATTTTCTCACTAAAAACAAGTTTTTTTGTCATGATCCATAAACTATCATTTGTTAGATAAAACTATGGCAACCGTTTTAGTTTGGTGCCTTTTTTAGGTCATATTACGAAAGCCCAAGGACATATGAAACGGTCCTTTCATTGTCTGCAGAGAAGCGTAGAAAATTAACCTATTACATCCTATTTATCAATGCATGGATCTATGACTCCATGGTCAATGGTATCAAAATTTGATACACCTGTGTGAATTTCGTTTTCTTCTCAATGCCCATGACAACTGCATTGTTCAAATTATTCTATATCCATAGAAAGAGCAGTTTGTTGTTTGGTTTCTGTGGCAACAGTATTTTTTGACAAACATGTTAAAATGATGTGTTGTAAAGTAATAAAATGGTATCAGTAAACCAAGAGAGATCAAAATGAAGTTAAATAGTTAAAAAACTACTTTGAGGTGATTGAAACCCCGACCTCGAGGTTGGGAAACCAACCATTCCCACTGCGCCAAACCACTTCTACAAACAATGATCTTAAATAGTGTAGATACTGTGTTTTATATTCAAATAAATGTCTAGGGGAATTTATGTTTAGAAGGTTTTTTGAGGGGAAATTTATTCAAGGGAGGCGTTTGTTATTTTTTTTTGGTATAAAATGGATACGTATACTCGAATAAACGCCCTGAATTTCACAGAACTACAACACATAATTACCGACAAAATATATTATTGCTTGATCATAAATGTGGCAAAGACAAGCCAAACCAGTCACTCGTCGCAAATCATGTTTCAGAGAAAATGGCCAAAACATGCTAAAATATCAAATTTTTAAAAATCTATTTTATTGCACTAAACTAACCTTTATATATCTACACACCATCCTATGCTGTTATTTTCCAAATTTTCAATGTTAAAACAACACAATTTAAGGATTTAAAGATTTTGCATGGGAAATGCCATAAATCATAAACTTTACAGGCTGATTTCTCATATATTGTTCTTTAAACAGCTGTGTGGTTAAACGCTTGTAACTTCATAAGGAAATGTGTGATTTGAATGATTTTTTACCATTTTATAGCTATTATTTTACTCTCTAAGCCTGTATTAATAACACAAAATTGATTTTTGCGACGAGTGACTGGTATGGCTTGTCTTTGCCACAAATAATTTTGATCCTAATCATCTTAGAAAAAGTGTAGTTCTCCTAGAATACAACATTAATAGAATGTGTTGAGAATATGTTGTTTCCACAATTTTTGTTTACAGTCATTTAAGGGGTGTTTATTTTAGACCGGCATTTATTCCAAATGATTTCTAGATATTAAATGAAAATTAGCTTCCTTTTCTGTTCATTTGAGATTGTTGAAGATGGTTATCATAAATTATATTCCAAAATGTGTGATAAAAATGCCCCATATTAAAATATACAGATCATCCCTAATCCGCTCTCTTTTATGCAGCTTGTTTATTGATTTCAACCCGTTTTATGACTCATATTATTTTATCAATACGCACTGGGCCAACTATTACTAACACCTTGAAAGATCACTATAAAATGCTACTAGAATAAATGCATGAGAACAATTTTAAGCAAAATTTTAGGATGACCTGATAGCCAAATCCCATCTCACAAATGTTGAGTGTGCCTGTCTGTCTAGCCTAGTTTAGGTTTTGCAGGCAAACTATTAATTTACATTTTCCTTGGGTATAATAAATTCCACCTCAAAAAATTCTCATTCAGAAATTAAAGAAACATGTTTTTAATGTCAAAATAAATTGTTTCATTGTTTGAATATTATTGGAGTGCACAAGTTCATTCATATCTGTAGGGAACAGCCTATGTCTCGAGGGAAGCTGACGTAAACTTGTCTAGTTGATTGTAAACTTCCTTGTTGTTTCTCATTTGAGTGCCAGATTTCTTTAAATGCTTGCTAAGTTCAAGTTAATTTCTCAGATCATATGCAGGGAGTGAATCATTTTTGATGTGGTAATGTCAAAAAATAATGATGCTTTTTTTTTCCCTCTGAAATAAAAAACATTTCCACTAATAAGCCTTATATTGAGACTTATTTTAAAGGTATCACATTATTTCATTTATTTACAAGGAACTGACTTTCGTTATACCCTTTATTAAAGTTTCCTACATTTTTTTGCATTTGGACGAGTTGAGTGGCCGAGGGGTAAGTCTGGGGCATTGCCAACTACTGTATAGCCTTGATAACTTCAGTACTGGTTTGAGCTGCTCCTTTTCCAACGTACAGTTGGTAGAACCAAGTCTTCTTGGATATGGACTTAAAAATGTAAGCTCCAGTGTACACATCTGGCTTGTGTGCACTTCAAAGAAAGCATCTTTTGGAAGAGTAGGGGTTACCTCGATGCGATGGTTCATTTCAGCCCCCTGTCATTGTGAAATGATGTGAAAAGTGCCTTCTACGGCTGCTACAGTAGTCGCAGTCCAATCCAATACAAGAAATAAAATGAATTTTTGTAATGTATTCTGCTATTAATGTGTTTCCCCCTGTTCTTAGGCTTTGAAAACAATTTTTTAGATATATTTATTTTCCATGGAAAAATGAATGAGGGCAGAAATATGAAATTTTATATTAGCCTAATTCTGACATTTATATTTTTTAAATAATTATAGAATATGAAAATAAATATATACAAAGATTATTATAAGTATATTAAATTTGGAATTACTGTATTTTCAAAGGATTAGCAATAATATCAACCACAAAAACACACAGTGACATGTCAAAAATAATTCTTCACAATGGTTATACAATACAATCATTATTTTAGGAAGCAATTGGTCGTTCACATAAAAATTTTTCACAGCGACCACAAATCTTGACAATAATTGATGTAATATATTTTATGTTTTCCCAGGTAAACGATTTTCCTGATTTCTTGAGTGGAGAAGAGCGAGAAAACACCCAGCATATCTTGATTAAACACTTGCAAGAAAGACCTGTTCCAAAGACAAGGAAAAAACCCACCAAAAAAGATTTGAGTCAAGCAAATGAAAAGCCCAATGAAAAAAGCACTCCCGATCTTCGTATTTCAGACCCTGCCGGAACAACATTTCAAGGCGACAGGCCGGAAGAAGCTATTGATAAACAACATAAGGAAAAGAATGGTGATGGTCTGCGTCTTAACAGAAGCTTTGATGAAACCACACTTTACTCATTAAAACTCGAGGATGGGTTTTCATCAGATGACAATGAACCAATGTCAGCTTCCCTTCCATCAAGTACATTTAAAACAATATCAAACGAGAAGGATCAGCAGCGGGAAAAAGAGGAAGAAAACTTAAAAGCTGCAAAGCAATCTAAAGGCAAAGTTGAGAGTGTGGACACCTGTCGTCCTCTCCCTCAAAGACCAGTTCATAATAAAGACTCCGCCCCTCGCTTAGATACCTCTAACACATTCACTGCAGACACAGCTTCCACATTAGTTAACAGAGACAAAAATTCTAGTAAGATACCGCAATCAAGAAACCTCCCGTCGCCAGAACTTGACAGCCCGAATAGTCCAAACGCTAAGAAGAAATCCCAGCCGTTTAAGTTCAATTTGGATGCACCACAATCCAAGGAATCTGTTGGTAAGAAGTCCTCTGACACAAAGAACCGACGTAGAAAATCGCTGGCAAAGCCACGTAGTTTAGACATTGAGATCAGTTCCGCAGAGAGTAGCCAACCTTTGATGCCAGAAGAAACAGAGGAAGTGACATTTGTGAAAGAAGAAGTTGAGATGCATCTGTACATTTTGTCTCCATTCTCAACCTTCCTAATGCAGCTCAGAAGCACATGGAACAACTACATTATTGTAAGTATCACATGTGCATGAATAACAAAAATATGCAGGCCGTGTATGATGGTTGAAACTGCTGCATATCCTTCAGGAAGTAATGGAATTGTCTGTCATATTCAGGCACATTATTTTCTTGACAGCTGCAGCATACCCTCAAGAATATAATGGAATCGCCCATCATATTCAGGCACATTTTCTTGACAGCTGCCTGAATACAAGGTTAGATTCCATTATATATTCTTTTAGGATTGAGGGTAAAAAATTGAATCTTTGTGACCTTGACTTTGTCCTTTGACCTTTTCTTCCGAAAATTATATGGTGGCTTTTTTCGTATTGCCATTCCACTAAATTTGATGATGTTCATTAGTTTTTGCGTAATCTTGCTAGCTGACAGATAGGCAGACAAAGACAGACAGACAGACAGCGTTGAAAACACAATCTCATGTGATAATAATCTGTCACATATTATAAAGGAATGATTTATAATAACCCATCTTGTAGTTTTAATTGTGCATGCGTATGTTAAATGCCAAGGTATATAAAAAAGTATTACATGGCATTTGTTGCTACATTCTATTGATTTAGTAATTAAATATTGGTTTCCATGCAGTAGGTGTCCTCTTTCCACTGTACAGTAATCGGTCCTTGGTTAATATTTTGAAATCACTAGAATTTTTCTCACAACTTAAAATAATTTAACTACCTAGCCTCATACTGAGACTTGTTGAAATTTTGAACTACTGTATAGTAAGTAGTATACCCTTCACTGTTTCATGAGTATACTTAAAATAGCAATTCTTGCGACTTTATTAACTCAATGTGAACCAATATAACAATTTAATTTCCTCAGCGATCAACACGAATGCTTGAAGCTACGTTTGCTGCTGATAAATTCACTAATGGATGTTCTCAACAAATGCCAAAAGGAGCAAGCAGGTAAAATGATAATTAGATATCCAACCTGTCGTATTCTATTAATGATCAGATATTTTTTAATATCCTGCTCATATTATATCATGCCAATAATACTCAAAACATTTGAATTTCATAAGGTATTTTAATATATTTATTTATTTATTTAAAGATTATTAATATTTCATTACATAAGGTATTGTTGATGAATATTCAATCCTTAATTTATGTGAATTCCATTTTTTTTTTTCATTTTTTAATAATCATGAAAATTTACATCATTGTCAGTAATAATCAAGGTATTTTAGTTTCATTATATATGATAAATATTCATACTAAAGCCTACTAACATCATATGTTTAGCAAGAAAACAGCTTTAATTAACAATAACATACAACCATCCATCCATCCATTCGCAGAACCTTATGCAAAATACTTCTCATGAAATTGCTTTTGTGAAAAAAGAAGAATGAAACGTGTTATTAATGAATGGGTTATTTATATTCATGTATTTCACCCTATTTACTTTTTGGGCTCCAGTTACTTAAAGGAGTACTCAACAACTAAACAAGAGTAAACAGATTCTCTCAACAATAGTTCCATTAAGAGGTTTTCCTAACACCATGGAGACTACTGTTACTAATGAAAAAAAACTGATGGCCATTGTTTTCTATCATCAATGGTTCTGTGGCTTTTTCAAGTTCCTTGTAATGTAGCTCCCTATGTAAGCCCACCTCAGGTATATAAGCCCATCCTCTACTTAATGCCCAGTTTTATGCATCAGTCTTTCCTTGGGCAAAAGCCCAATGTATATGATTTGAATATGAGTATCTTAACTGACTTTTAATACTATAAAAAAATATCAAATATTGGTTTTAAACTAAGCATGTAGTGTTGAAAAATCTTTTGATCGAAGATGGGATTCCCCTCCTCCTCCCCTCTCCCTCTCTCCTCTTTCCCCTGTCTCCACCCCCCCACCCCAAAAAAAAGGCCCAATTTTTTGTTGAAGTAGGGTAGGCTTAATCTATACCAGAAGAACTAAAGTATTATTATTACAATATTACAAAGTAGTTCTAAAGTCCTTTTACAAAGGTAGTCAAAGCGCTGTACATTATGACCTTAGACAGAGATAAGAGCTACATTAATGAAAAATCAATCAATAAAAATGGCACATACAAAAAAAAGGTATGCAGCATTAAAATTTCCTACAAATTTTACCATTTGGCATTGTAACAATAAAAAACACAGAAAGATTAAAATTATGAATTAACCAAGGAATGATAAAGTACAATTATAAAAACTACTCAAACTACTTATTTGTAGCCTTAACTATTCTTCAAATTAATATTTGATAAGTTTTATAAATATTCTAAAAAATTTAATAACATAATATTAAAAAATGAAGTATGTAATTAATAATATGTACCTTGGTGTAGTGAATGCAAAATTGATGTATTGTGTAATATATTTAATTTTAGCATAAGAATATATTTAATTTTAGCATAAGAATATATTTACAAATTGCTCAACTTAAGCGTTTTAATCAGACATGATTTTGTTTAATTATGTAATTTGCTACCCACTTGATCGAAAATTAATATGACCATGGAGTTACTCTTTTAACCAAGTAAAAATTATAATTAGTTTCTCTTGACAAATAGAACAAGAAGGCGTTTTTTGGCCAACAGCTTTTTCAGATTAAGTCATTTCACCAGTTATACTCAATCTGATTTACACATTTCAAAATAGGGAAATATAAAAATTTAATGCAAATGCAACTAAATAAATAATAATCATTTAAAGTTTTTATAGCACAAATTATATAACAATATTAAAATCAAATGCGCTTATGACTAATTGTTGTTTCCTTAAAAGTGTGATTGACATCAAAACATTTTTTATTAAATTTTTTAGTTTTGATAAACTAGAAGATGAATTGCTTGGAGAAGAAACTATTATTTTTATTTACTTGGCCATACTAATAACTCAATAGGATGACATTGAAAGGCTGGTGAGCCACTTGTGTAATATTCTCATTCAAATTATTTTTAATAGGTAGCTACTCTTGATACGCAAGTGACATAACATTCTTATTAATGATACTAAAAACACTTTAGTCTTGCAAAAATGGCGAAATGAATCTGGTAAAAGAACTTTTGAATATCGTTCCGTTAAACTTTGGAATAACCGACCTTCAAATATCCGCAGCATTGTACTCTCACTTTAAAATCTTTCAAAGATCTAATTTAAATTTGCTTCTTGTACTTAACTCTTTAGTATAATTTTTATTTTCATTTATTTTTGTTTTGTATGAAAGTTTTTGTTTTCTGGACCCCAAGGAAGAACAATGTCCCCACATTGATTGGGTATTTAGTAAAATGAAAGGTTTCTAATTCTAATTCTAACTGCAATATTCATTCCTTCATTCATTTCATTGTCTCATATACTTAATCCTCACTGATATATTAGTACATGATAATGCTAAAAATTAATATGCTTGTAATAAAAATAATTCATTAAACAAACACTTTTATATAGGTAGCACAGGCTCATACAGTACATGGTACCTTCACTTAAAAAACTAAAGCATAAAAAGTGCACAAATATAAACAACACAAAATAAAAATCGCAAAGTTAATTACAAAATGAAATGAAAATTGTTCAATACACTGCAACAGGGCATTTTTTTTTTTTTTGCAAATAGTAAAGTGTCTTCTTTGCTCAACTAACAAAGTAAGACAAGACACATATAACATAAATTAATGCCTATCATGAAGTATGACATAATAATAATAATAATAATAATAATAATAATAATAATAATAATAATAATAATAATAATAATACAACTGATGCTTAATTCAAAAACATTGCCAATCCTAAAAGGTGGTACTAAAAAAGAATTTCTAGAACATGTAGTGTTTTTAAAAAGCAGTGGCACAATCAGGGGAATTTCCACGTTACTGGACACCACATTTTGTTCAAAAGAGAAATAATAATAGTAAATTAATGGAAATAAATGGCAAAGTATGTTTCTTAAATAGATGTTAATAACCACTTTATGGTGAGTATTAGCCATCGGTCTGCTCCAACTCTAGTTTTGCACTTTACGTAAAAATTTTGTGGATTTAGTGTTTCTATTCAACATCCCCCCCCCCCTTTTCTGGATACACCACTGGGAAGGGCATGATACCTTTGACCACTTCTTACGAGGTTTATTAACATAAATGAAATTGGTGCTAACTAATAGTTTTATTTAATAAGCATGGTCTATAAGCCTTTTGTGAACCATGCATGGCAGGGATGTACAGTAGCTACAGTATAGACTGCAGAGGTGGGCGGGGCCACCCAGTCTGAATTAAATTTCATGGCCCTCCACCCACCCTTATAAACCTACCTTAAAATCTCATATTATTTAGATGCATGATATTATTATTAAATACTACTTCAACACATTATTACAGCACGATATTGGTATTAAATAATGTTTGTTCATACCATTGAAATTGCAACTAATATTCTCATTCTCATTCATTCTCTGTCTCTTCCATTGCATCACATGGCTGTGTCAACATCTGTCGTCAATCTTCTTTGTTACCATGGTGATTCCAGTCCAGTGAGATTCGATAGGTATGGTATTCGATTAATTTTTATTTATTGGATTAGATTCCTGTTGTGTGAAGTTAATTAATATTAAGGTGTTTGATCTTGTTATTGTCAGTTTTTTTATGAAATATAAGCTGTATTTTATATTGTAAAGAAACTTTGGTGATTATAATAATGCTATTAAGGATGAAAATATTAATCCTTGGCTATTAGTATTATTACAAGACGATGGAAATGATAAGGCAAGATTTTTTAATACCTTGTTTAGAGAACCCTCTAACCGCTATAATAGTGATTTTCAATAAAAGTAAAATGTCAGTAAGTACACCTCCGCCACCAAAATTTTGAGAATGAAAGATTTTTTTAAATTTTTATAACTCCCTCCGCTCCGCTGATATCTCCAAAAATAATATATACAGTTGAACTTGCATAAGTCGAATCCAAAAGCCATTGAAAAATTGTTCGACTTAGATAATATTCGACTTACATATAGTTAATTAATGGAAAACGCAACAATTTGGCATTTAAAATATGTTCGACTTAGAAATTATTTGAGTTAGGCAAAGTTGGCTTAGGCAAGTTTAACTGTATGTTACTTAATTATATAAATTTAAAGCATTTATCAGTATCATTTACACTGTTTACCTTCATCAATAAAATTATATTTTTATTTTCTTCTCTGCTTAGATGCTTTTGGCAAAATCATTTTGTTAAATAAGAATACAAATTTTTTTTTCCCGCCCTTCTCTGACCATCTTTTATCACACTAAGGTATTGTATCAAACTCAGAGAGCTATTTACAATGTAGCACATATAGAAGCTTTTTGGTGATCCGCTACACTAGCGGATCACCTCTTGTTATTGTCAGGATCTTTTTTTTCTTATTCTTCTTTCTTTCTCCCCTTTTCTGTTCGCACGATATCTCAAAAACTGCACCAAAGTTACGCACAATCGCTGTCAACGAACATTTGGCTTGGTCTGGAATAGAAATGGTAAGCTTTTCAACGCGCTCAGTCATGCGTGACGTCATCTACGCGCAATTTTGCGTTTTT